GTCTCCATGACCTCTGATGCTCCTGGAGACATTTCCCAGCGCGCACCTCCGCTGGAGCTACGTGCTGCGGGAGACGGTGTATATACAGATATATATATATATATGTATGTGTATATATATATATGTCTATGTATTCATATACCCAAAAAGCAATTCTTGCATTTGCTCCCGCACTCCCCTGCAATCCTAGAGCCTGAGTAATAATGAACCCCTACACACTAAAGCCTCAAGCCCATATAAACTTACCATTACATAGGGCTCGCAAATTTCTTAATTCCACAATTTCAACACTTCAAACTAAAAAAAATCTGCCCCCAAACCCTAAGTAATGGTGATGAACCCTAAACCCTAACTCCTGATCCCTAAACCCTAATCCCTCATCCCTAGTCCCTAAACCCTAAAACCCAAACCCTAATCCCAAAACCCTAATCCCTCAACCCTAAACCCTAATCCCTAAACCCTAATCCCTAAACCCTAATCTCCCACCCCTAGACCCTAAACCCTGATTCCTAAACCCTAATCCCTAAACCCGACAAAACAGCCTGCGGGAGATCCAAGTTGCGCAGCAGATGCCAAGAAGGTCTCAGGACCGCCCTTCTTCTGCCGAACGCCCACGAGCATGTAGCCTACCAACCTGTGAGTGGGTTTAGGGTTTAGGGATTAGGGTTTAGGGTTTAGGATTTAGGGTTTAAGGTTTGGGGATGAGGGTTTTGGGCTTAGGGATCATTACCATGGCTTAGGGTTTGTTGGCGGATTTTTGAGCTTGAAATTTTGAAATTGTAGAAGTAAGAAAACTTGGAAGCCATAAGTAATGACAAGTTTAGATGGGCTTCAGGGTTTAGGGTTTAGGGATTTGCGTGTAGGGTTTAGGAATGAGGGTCTAGGACTAGGAGATCGTTCTCGAGGTCTGTGTGTAATGACTGAGGTTGTGAGATTCGGGGCTGGGGTTGGGTATCAAGGTTTAGGAATTAGGGTTTAGGGTTCAAGGTTTAGGGTTTAGGGTTTATAGGTTCATCTTTGTCAGCACCGCTCTACTTACTGTATTCTCCCGAGTACTACCCGCCTCCCTTCACCAACAAACAAATGCCCAATCTTTCCTAGAATTGTCGCTTGGTAGTATCTTGAGTTAGTGGACATGCCTGATTCTTGAAACCCTGAACCTTTAACCCCAAATCCTAAACCCACCTCCAACTGTCCTTGCTCATGACTGAGTGGTCCATGACCACCAGGCATATCGCAACCTCAGCCACGCCGAGGGCATTGAAGATCTTTGGCTGTAGCTGCAGCTGGGCCTAAGCCGGATTTCCACAAAAACACCACCACTAGAAGTCTTGCAGTTGTTCGGGAACTGTCTGAAAACTCTAAACCCTAAACCCTAGTAGGTTTTCTAAACCAGGGCAAAGAGCTCTCTGCATCCGGCTGGTCATGGAAAGCAAGAGTGGCGGTCCACACTGACACTCGGAAGACACCATTTTGCAAGATACCTACCCGGGGAGGCGTCCGGGACTAGGCTCGAGGGGGTGTTATGATGCATTAGGGTTGTGACGGGCACTACATGGATAGGTTGGGTAAGTTGGAAATAATTAAATTACGAAAAAAAATACGAATAAAATAGGAATGCTGTCATGTTGGAAAATACGAAGTAGGAAAATAATACGAAAAACATACGAAAAATGTGAAAATGATAGGAAAATATAGGAAAACAATAGAAACAACAAAAAAAAATAAAAAAAAAAAAAAA